CATCCTTTCTTGATCAAAACTCTTCAGAGTATAGGGATAGAGGGTACATACCTCAATATCATAAAAGCCATCTATGAAAAACCTACAGCGAATATCATTCTCAATGGGGAAAAGCTGAGAGCTTTTCCCCTAAGGTCAGGAACGCGGCAGGGATGTCCACTCTCACCACTGCTATTCAACATAGTATTAGAAGTCCTAGCCACAGCAATCAGACAACAAAAAGAAATCAAAGGCATCCAAATCGGCAAAGAGGAAGTCAAACTCTCACTCTTTGCAGATGATATGATACTGTATGTGGAAAACCCAAAAGACTCCACCCCAAAACTGCTAGAACTCATACAGGAATTCAGTAAAGTAGCAGGATATAAAATCAATGCACAGAAATCAGTGGCATTCCTGTACACCAACAACAAGACAGAAGAGAGACAAATCAAGGAGTTGATCCCATTTACAATTGCACCCAAAACCATAAGATACCTAGGAATAAATTTAACCAAAGAGGCAAAGGATCTGTACTCAGAAAACTATAAAATACTCATGAAAGAAATTGAAGAAGACACAAAGAAATGGAAAAACGTTCCATGCTCATGGATTGGAAGAACAAACCTTGTGAAGATGTCAGTGCTACCTAGAGCAATCTACACATTCAATGCAATCCCCATCAAAATACCATCCACCTTTTTCAAAGAAATGGAACAAATAATCCTAAAATTTGTATGGAACCAGAAGAGACCCCGAATAGCCAGAGGAATCTTGAAAAAGCAAAGCAAAGCTGGCGGCATCACGATTCCGGACTTCCAGCTCTATTACAAAGCTGTCATCATCAAGACAGTATGGTACAAGCACAAAAACAGACACATAGATCAATGGAACAGAATAGAGAGCCCAGAAATGGACCCTCAACTCTATGGTCAACTCATCTTTGACAAAGCAGGAAAGAATGTCCAATGGAAAAAAGACTGTCTCTTCAACAAATGGTGTTGGGAAAATTGGACAGCCACATGCAGAAGAATGAAACTGGACCATTTCCTTACACCACACACAAAAATAGACTCCAAATGGTTGAAAGACCTAAATGTGAGACAGGAGTCCATCAAAATCCTAAAGGAGAACACAGGCAGCAACCTCTTCGACCTCAGCCGCAGCAACTTCTTCCTAAAACATCGCCAAAGGCACGGGAAGCCAGGGCACAAATGAACTATTGGGATTTCATCAAGATAAAAAGCTTTTGCACAGCAAAAGAAACAGTCCACAAAACCAAAAGACAACCAACAGAATGGGAGAAAATATTTGCAAATGACATATCAGATAAAGGGCTAGTATCCAAAATCTATAAAGAACTTATCAAACTCAACACCCAAAGAACAAATAATCCAATCAAGAAATGGGCAGAAGACATGAACAGACATTTTTCCAAAGAAGACATCCAAATGGGCAACAGATACATGAAAAAGTGCTCAACATCGCTCAACATCAGGGAAATCCAAATCAAAACCTCAATGAGATACCACCTCACACCCATCAGAATGGCTAAAATTAACAAGTCAGAAAACGACAAATGTTGGCGGGGATGTGGAGAAAGGAGAACCCTTCTACACTGTCGGTGGGAATGCAAGCTGGTGCAACCCCTCTGGAAAACAGTATGGAGGTTCCTCAAACAGTTGAAAACAGAGCTACCATATGATCCAGCAATTGCACTACTGGGTATTTACCCCAAAGATACAAATGTAGGGATCCGAAGGGGTACGTGCACCCCAATGTTTATAGCAGCAATGTCCACAATAGCCAAACTGTGGAAAGAGCCAAGATGTCCATCGACAGATGAATGGATAAAGAAGAAGTGGTATATATACACAATGGAATATTATGCAGCCATCAAAAGGAATGAGATCTTGCCATTTGCAATGACATGGATGGAACTGGAGGGTGTTATGCTGAGTGAAATAAGTCAATCAGAGAAAGACATGTATCATATGACCTCACTGATATGAGGAATTCTTAATCTCAGGAAACTGAGGGTTGCTGGAGTGGTGGGGGGTGGGAGGGATGGGGTGGCTGGGTGATAGACATTGGGGAGGGTATGTGCTATGGTGAGCACTGTGAATTTTACAAGACTGATGAATCACGTATCTGTACTTCTGAAACAAATAATGCAATATATGTTAAAAAAAGAAAAGATAACAGGAGGGGAAGAATGAAGGGGAGTAAGTCGGAGGGGGAGACGAACCATGAGAGACGATGGACTCTGAAAAACAAACAGGGTTCTAGAGGGGCGGGGGGTGGGGGATGGGTTAGCCTGGTGATCGGTATTAAAGAGGGCACATTCTGCGTGGAGCACTGGGTGTTATGCACAAACAATGAATCATGGAACACTGCATCAAAAACTAATGTATGGTGATTAACATAACAATAAAAATTTAAAAAAATCTAAATTTAGGAGTGTTTCTATGTAAATATATGTTCGTTTCAAGCTGACTTTATAAAGCACATTTTTTTTAATATAAATTGTGTATTGGGGACTACCTCTTAAAACATTCCTATAGGTCAGGGGTCAGCAAACTTTTTAATTCAAGGGCCACAGAGTAAATATTTTAGGCTTTGTGGGTCATCTGGTCCGTGTCACAACTACTACACCATTGTAAAACAAATGAAACCGTAGGTAATAAAACAAATGTGCCATAGCTCTGGTCTAATAATACTTTATTTACAAAAATAAGCAGACCAGATTTGGCCATAGGTCATAATTTGCCAACCCCAAAACTAAATGGAAAAATCTTAAAGCTACCCTGTGCATTTTAGTCTCAATTTTAATACCCTGTGTTCTCTTTGTATAAATTCTCAACATTATTTTAGTTACTTCACGGAAACCAAGGGAAGATGAAAAAGACGGTCAAGCATATAAATTTGTGTCACGGTCTGAGATGGAAGCAGATATTAAAGCTGGAAAATATTTGGAACATGGGGAATATGAAGGAAATCTCTATGGAACCAAAATCGATTCTATTCTTGAAGTTGTCCAAACTGGACGAACTTGTATTTTGGATGTCAACCCACAAGTAAGCTGCATGGATTCCAAAGCTGTTTTTAAAATCATAATTCCTGTGAAGTTTTTGTTTGGTTTTATTTTCAGATTGTGAGGATGCCTCTTTCTATTACCTATTGGTGAGAGAACCTTATTCATCCACAGCTAGTTAAATAAATCTCATCGATAATTATCCAACACGGGGCACCTGGGTGGCTCAGGTCATGATCCCAGGGTCCTGGGATCGAGCCCCACATCGGGCTCCCTGCTCAGCGGGAAGCCTGCTTCTCCCTCTCCCACGCCCCCTGCCTGTGTTCCCTCTCTTACTGTCTCTCTCTGTCTCTCTCAAATAAATAAATAAATAAATAAAAACTTTAAAAAAATAATTAGCCAATAGAGGTTTGGATAGGAATAGAACTTGATAGAAGTTTAGTATTTACTTGTTCAAGTAACATATGCATGTGTTAGGAAATGTTGATTTTAAAATTTTAGCAAAGCTACAACATAAAGAATAAAGTCACACCCCTTCCCAACCAGTGCCACGCACACACACACCATTCTCTTCACTCTTACTCCCTCTCTCTCACTGACCCTTTCTCACCCCTCCACACTCAACCCAACTTAACTTCCCTACTCAGAGATAATTACTAATAGTTTGGTATATATCTTTGTCATTTTACTATGCCTTAATACAGATATATATCTGTATAATTCGATTTTTTATGGGTTTCCTATTTTTCTTTTTTACATAAATAGAAAAATTCTATATTATATAGATTCTTTAGCTTTTTTCCATTATGTATCTTGAAGATCTTTTCATGTCAGTTACTGTAGAGCTTTTTTAGTTCTTTGTAATTACTGAATATTCAGTGTTTCACAGTACAAATGTATATTAAGTTATATAACCACTCTCAATAGACACAGATTATTTCTGCTGTTTCAATATTAACAGAATTCTACAAGTAACATAGAAAGCATTCACATCATTCTTGATAATTTTTGGATCTTTAAGTTCAATACTTTCCTTTGTTCAAGAGGATTAAAGGGTAGTATGACTGAGGTCAGAACACATTTGATGGATCTCTATTTTAGAAAAGTACTGTATGGGGCGCCTGGGTGGCTCATTCGTTAAGTGTCTGCCTTCACCTCAGGTCATGATCCCAGGGTCCTGGGATTGAGTCCGGCATCAGGCTCCCTGCTCAGTGGTGGACCTGCTTCTCCCTCTCCCTCTCCCTCTCCCTGCTGCTCCCCCTGCTTGTGCTCTCTCTTTCTGTCTCTCACTCTCTCTCTGGCAAATAAAATCTTTAAAAAAAAGAAAAGTACTGTATGGAATCAAAAGGATAGAAGGCGGGCAAGTATTAAATTACATCCTTCATCCTTAGTGAGAGGGCAGATAGATTTTGATTAGTTAGAATTTATTATAAATTAAAGGGTAACATAATTCAAATTCTAATCCCATATAAATTGTTTTATAATTGTTCTTCTACACAGGCCCTGAAAGTGCTGAGGACTTCTGAGTTCATGCCCTATGTTGTATTTATTGCTGCTCCAGAACTAGAGACATTACGTGCCATGCACAAGGCGGTGGTGGATGCTGGTATCACTACTAAGCTTTTGACGGTGAGCAGTTCTTTTCAGACTAACAATGTTGTTTTACTCCTAAGATTTTTTTTTCTTTTTTCTTTTGGGCATGTTTAATTCTAATCATATTTATGAAATAAATACACTATATGTTGCATTACAGAATAAAAATTCATTCATGAGATATAGCTAGGATTTGGAACAGTATGACTTTTACTTAAAAATCATTGTTTACTTTGTTTTGAAACACGAGTTTAGGGATGCCTGGGTGGTTCATTCAGTTAAGCATCTGCCTTTGGCTTAGGTCATATTCTCAGAGTCCTGGGATCAAGTGCTGCATCAGGGTCTGTGCTCAGCAGGGAATGCTCTCCCTCCCTCCCTCTCTCTCCCTCCCTCTCCCTCGCTCTCTCAAATAAATAAATAAATATCTTAAAAAACACACAAGTTTATTCCCTCTATATAAATGAAATGGAGCAGTATTAAAATACACATATTAATCTAACTCTCATTTTATCAGTGAGGAAATTGGGCTCCAAGACCATTAAGAAGCATATTCATCATAAGGTTTACTACTGGTAGTTAGTTCTGACTTTTAGTTTCTGTTACATGTTTTCTCTTGTTCTTCCTCTCTCTCTTTTCATATTATGGGAAATTTAAAGTACATACAAGAGGAAAAAAATGAACTCCCATATTCCTATCACCTAGGTTCAGTAATGTGTGGCCATTTCTGTTTCAATTAGCCCTCTCTTCACTTCCTCCCTAACCTGAATTATTTTAAAGCAAATCTTTGATATGTCAACCATAATACTTCATTATCTATCTCTAAAAGATAAAGACTTTCTAAACATAACCATAACACCATTAACACAAAAAAATTAACAAGAGCAACTTCCTAATATCATCAGTATGCCATCCATATTTGAATTTCTCCAAGATTTAGAATTTTTTTTTACAGTTGATTTGTTTAAATCAGATCCATACAAGATCAACATGTTGCATTTACTTGATATCTTCTGAATTTCTTTTTTCCCCCCAGCTTGAGGGTAATTGACATATAATAAACTGTACATACCGAAAGTGTACAACTTGGTAAGTCTGGGCATAGGTATACGCCAACTTGGAATGTTGGGTAGGCTCCTTCTGGGCTCCACCTTGTGTACTGCAGCCTAGAAGGTCTTTCAAGACAATAAGCTGGGGCAGTTGTAGGGTTCACTTCGTTTCCTGTTTCTCTGAGGTATCAGTCTTTTGTTGCCTTGTGCACAGTGCACAAGGTCTTAAAAACTGTTCCATACAAAACAAACTGAGTGTTACTGGAGTGGTTGGGGGTGGGAGGGATGGGATGGCTGGGTGATAGACATTGGGGAGGGTATGTGCTACGGTGAGCGCTGTGAATTGTGCAAGACTGTTGAATCACAGATCTGTACTTCTGAAACAAATAACGCAACATATTTTAAGTAAAAAGGAAAAGAAGAAGATAACAGGAGAGGAAGAAAAGGGGAGTATGTCAGAGGGGGAGACGAACCATGAGAGATGATGGACTCTGAAAAACAAACTGAGGGTTCTAGAGGGTAGGGGGGTGGGGGGATGGGTTAGCCTGGTGATGGGTATTGAGGAGGGCACGTTTTGCATGGTGCACTGGGTGTTATGAACAAACAATGAATCATGGAACACTGCATCAAAAACTAATGATGTAATATATGGTGATTAACATAACAATAAAAAAATTAAAAAAAAAAAACTGTTCCATACATTTTGTCTGTTTTCACTGTCAGGTAGGAGGGTTAGTCTGATATCTGTTACTACATCTTAGCTGGAAGCAGACATCCCTTTCCTTGTTCTAATCTGTAAATTCTCACTCCCCACCTCCCCTCTCTTGTAACCTTATAATTCAGTTGTTCAAAAAAATGGGTTAGGGCGCCTGGGTGGCTCAGTTGGTTAAGCATTCAACTCTTGATTTGAGCTCAGATCATGATCTAAGGGTCATGAGAACAAGCTCCTGCTCTAACAAAAAACAAAACAAAACAAAGTTGGGTCAGTTTTCCTATAGAACGCTTCACAGTCTAGATTTTGCCAATTTTGTCCCCATTGTGTCATTTCCTTCTATTCCCTGTGAACTGATAGACGCTTGAACAGATATAGGTTTACTTTTTTTTCCCCAAGAATAATTAATAATTGATACTTCTTCCCTTGTTACATTATGAGGCATAGGAAAGGCTCTCTTTTTTTGTGATAAGATTAATCAGTGGGTTCAAATGTTGTGAGCCCGATCTGTAAAGTTCTCCAGTAGCTTTTTACCTACTGATTTTGGCAAGTTTATTCATCTTTGCCTGGATCACTTATTTTTTAGGGATTGTAAAATGATAACACTCAAGTTTGTCATTCATTCTGAATTTATAAACTAGAGTTCTAAGAAATAACTTTTCCTCATCAATTATTGATTACTCTGAAGTAAAGTTCATATAGGAAAGTCAGGGTATATGCTTATACTTTCCTTTTGATGGGTCAGTTTTCGGAATAATAGGATTTGTTCTGAGAGCCCCCAGAAGCAACAGGTGATCAAATAAGGTTTGTTTTCTTTGGTTTTTAGTTTCATTATGAGCACCTGATGTGAGTTTTTGATGTGGTTACTCTATTACGGTCATTCTTATTTTTTTCTTTATTATTATGTTAATTACCATACATTACATCATTAGTTTTTTTTAATTTTTTATTGTTATGTTAATCACCACACATTACATCATTAGTTTTTGATGTAGTGTTCCATGATTCATTGTTTGTGTATAACACCCAGTGCTCCACGCAGAATGTGCCCTCCTTAATACCCATCACCAGGCTAACCCATCCCCCCACCCCCCTCCCCTCTAGAACCCTCAGTTTGTTTCTCAGAGTCCATCATCTCTCATGGTTCGTCTCCCCCTCCGATTTACCCCCCTTCATTCTTCCCCTCCTGCTATCTTCTTCTTTTTTTTTTTTTCTTAACATATATTGCATTATTTGGTTCAGAGGTACAGATCTGTGATTCAACAGTCCTGCACAATTCACAGCACTCACCATAGCACATACCCTCCCCAATGTCTATCACCCAGCCACTCCATCTCTCCCACCCCCCCACCACTCCAGCAACCCTCAGTTTGTTTCCTGAGATTAAGAATTCCTCATATCAGTGAGGTCATATGATACATGTCTTTCTCTGATTGACTTATTTCACTCAGCATAACACCCTCCAGTTTCATCCACGTCGTTGCAAATGGCAAGATCTCATTCCTTTTGAGGGCTGCATAATATTCCGTTGTGCATATATACCACATCTTCTTTATCCATTCATCTGTCGATGGACATCTTGGCTCTTTCCACAGTTTGGCTGTTGTGGACATTGCTGCTATAAACATTGGGGGGCACGTACCCCTTCAGATCCCTACATTTGTATCTTTGTGGTAAACACCCAGTAGTGCAATTGCTGGATCATATGGTAGCTCTATTTTCAACTGTTTGAGGAACCTCCATACTGTTTTCCAGAGGGGTTGCACCAACTTGCATTCCCACCAACAGTGTAGGAGGGTTCCCCTTTCTCCGCATCCCCACCAACATCTGTCGTTTCCTGCCTTGTTAATTTTAGCCATTCTGACTGGGGTGAGGTGGTATCTCATTGAGGTTTTGATTTGGATTTCCCTGATGCCAAGTGATGTTGAGCACTTTTTTATGTGTCTGTTGGCCATTTGGATGTCTTCTTTGGAAAAATGTCTGTTCACGTCTTCTGCCCATTTCTTGATTGGATTATTTGTTCTTTGGGTGTTGAGTTTGATAAGTTCTTTATAGATTTTGGATACTAGCCCTTTATCTGATATGTCATTTGCAAATACTTTCTCCCATTCTGTTGGTTGTCTTTTGGTTTTGTGGACTGTTTCTTTTGCTGTGCAAAAGCTTTTTATCTTGATGAAATCCCAATAGTTCATTTTTGCCCTTGCTTCCCTTGCCTTTGATGATGTTTCTAGGAAGAAGTTGCTGCCATCATTAGTTTTTGATGTAGTGTTCCATGATTCATTATTTGCGTATAACACCCAGTGCTCCATGCAGAACGTGCCCTCTTTAATACCCATCACCAGGCTAACCCATCCTCACACCCCCCTCCCCTCTAGAACCCTCAGTTTGTTTTTCAGAGTCCATCATCTCTCATGGTTCATCTCCCCCTCCGATTTCCCTTCCCCTCCTGCTATCTGTTGAATCACAGATCTGTACCTCTGAAACAAATAATACGTTATATGTTAAAAAAAAAAAAAAGAAGAAGAAGAAGATATGGTCATTCTTATTGATGCTCAAATTGTCCCATCTTTGACCAATAGGAGCTTATTCAAGTTGGCCCTTGAGACCTTATTTCATGAGTCCAATAGTCTCAGCTTCCTTGCTATCTGGTATGACAGATGTTCCAGGCTCCTATTGTACATTTTCTGTTCTAGGCCAGATATCAGCTGTTGCTTCAAGGAGCTCTGATTCTTTTCAGAGTGAATGGTATTTTAAGACCATAATACTAGGAGTGCACATTGTCACAAGATTGATCATTGTTTCTAGCTCTACTTTTCAGGTAGAGCTAGGATATATGTTTTTCTGTTGTACGTTTGAAGGAAACCATATCATGAATTCATACTGCTATATCCCATTCAAATTCAGAATTACAAGGTTTTTATTTAGCCTCTTTTATCTCCATTCTGAGTACTGAGTATCCCAGTACTCAAAAACACTGGGAATGTTAGAATATCACATAATTGCTCAAAACACAGTACACATACAGCAGTCTGAGAATAAGTACACCAACACTACCAGGTGTGATTACCATGAACTAGTTTTTTGGTGGGTGGTTTTTTTGTTTTTGTTTTGTTTTGTCCTTAAGGTTTATCTCAGTGTATGGAAATTGTCATGTTTTAAAGTTTCTTGTAATGCTTGCTCTCTGTGTACTTAGTTTAGTTACTACTCTTTTTGATGTTTAAATTGGCCTATGTTTAGCTTACAGGAATATTCAGCTTGTCTTCTGAGGTTTTTTTAGCACAACCCCAATAATCTTTGATGACTCTTTTCTTCGTAGCTAGATAAACTGTTCCAGATTTTCTTACGCATTTCTTGGCCCAGACCTGGAGCCAGCCATCTAAAAAAACTGGTTCCTTTTACTGGGAAATGGTATTTAGAGGCAATATAGGTGCTAAAGTTGTGTGTTCAACTTAGTTGCTCATTGTTTCCAGGCTTTTTGGTGACCAGATATAGGAAATACATTTTTCTCTTTAAGAAAACACACATCATTTGTTCAGTTTGATAATTCCAATTTAAACTTTCCATTATTTTACTTAACTTCTTTGACTCTATAGTTGTCTTTTTCTTATGCTGAAAATCTTGGTTCCTGATGACATCATTTCTTACTTTACATATATAAACTAAGAACCCACTCTGTATATAATTTCTGAGTAACAATATCAATATTGATATTATCAACAGTATGATTATTGAAAACTTTTAAGTTTCAAGCTTTTAAAAAATTGTTCCTAAGATATATCCCACTTGGGTATTATTTTATTTTAAAGTCACTGAAATATTTCCATTCTGCATGGTTAAACCATCAACTTGAAACACAGGTTTGTTTCATTTTGCTTTTGATTTTTAGGTATTGTCCTTTTTTTATTTGAATTTTGTTGTATAATTCTATACATTTCATAGTTCTAAAGTAAATCTTAACAGGAAAATCTAGCTTTTCTCTGTCCTCTCCACTCCCACCTACGTAGGTCGTCATTTTCACAGTTTCTTAAAATATAAGCAAATATGGGGCGCCTGGGTGGCTCAGTTGGTTGAGCGACTGCCTTTGGCTCAGGTCATGATCCTGGAGTCCCGGGATCGAGTCCCACATCGGGCTCCCTGCTCAGCAGGGAGTCTGCTTCTCCCTCTGACCCTCTTCCCTCTCGTGCTCTCTATCTCTCATTCTCTCTCTCTCAAATAAATAAATAAAATCTTTAAAAAAATATATAAGCAAATACGTATGTGTACCCTCCCTCCCTCATTTCTTACATAAAAAGTAGCCTATTATATTCAGTAGTCTGCCTGCATTTTCCACTTACCAATATATTTAGGTTTTCTCCATGGCCATATATAGAGATTCTTTATTGTTTTTCCATCTGAATGATGTACTACTCCACTATTGTTACAGGATTGTCATTGTCAAAAAAAACTTTTTTCTTAAATGAAGCAGATTGTTAATGACTGTAATAGGCCATAATTGTTTTCAAGTTGAATTGAGGCTGTTTGCACATCTATCACAAAAGATAGTTGTTTCAAATAGATCAGTGAAAATATTAACTGAAATGTAAGTATTAGTGTCCCTCAGGCCTAGTTTGGAACTCATGTCTTTCTCTACACTTCCCTTTCGGTGTTTTCACCAAACTCATTATCTTATATACCATTGTTACACTGATTATTCCTAGTTTATGTATAGATAACCCAGAATTCAGAGCTCCGAGCTGCATCACCCGTCTCTCCTTAGCTTACATCTGCACTTGGATGTTAACATGTACAAAGAACATTGTGTTCCCCTCCCTCTCCCCCCACCAAAATTGTGCTCTCCCTACTCCCACTCCCCAACTCTGCATTTTCTATAACTGCTGCTTTCTACGTTTTGGTTTATTCATCCATCCATTCATTCATTCATTCATCACTTTTCACATTCAGCCCATCAGCCAGTCTTGATGATTTTATCACCAAAATATACTTCCAGTCTGCTGTCATTTCCATCTCTTCTTTCTCCACCACAAGCCAGCGACATTTTTCTGTTGCATGTGAGTTCTCCACTACCTAGCTCATACTCATATGTCAAGGTATCACCCCTGCCCTCAATCCCTCTATCCATCCTGGACTTTGAGTATCTTAAAACATACCAGGGTCATTTCCCTCCTGGATTTTGCATTCCTGTTTCCTCTGCCTGGGATGCTCTTTCCCCCACTATAGTTCTTAGTTTAAATGTCATTTACTCGGTATCTTTGTAATCACTGTATCTAAAATAGAATTCTCAAAATTCTTTGTTCTGGTTGGTTTCTTTTATAGTACTCATTATAACTTGGAAGTTTTTGTGTTTATTTGCCCTTAGTCTGTCTCCTCCTCTGGAGGGTAGGAACCCACTCTTACTCATTGTTATATCCACAGATGATGAAACAGAGTAGACACTTTAACAGGAATCGATAAATATTTGAAGAACATGTAGAAGTACTGTGAAATCTCAAAACAGTTGCAATTTAATGAAAAGCTTTACTTGCTCATGCAGAACCCATTACTTATTCATTACCTACATCATTCCAAAATGACTAGAAATAGTGTACAAAATATAAACAATGCTAGCTAAAGATTAAATAAATATTTGTGTATGTGTTGGTGGGGGTAGGAAGCATGTAGTTCGTCTTCAAAATACATTTCTAATATTCTCTTTCCTAGAGATAGGCAGCAGATTTGGCTTTGAGCTTAATAGGCGCTGCAAAAATGGTTTCCATTATCTCAGAGCTCACAAGATAAAAATCTTTTGAGCTCTTTCCACAGTCTTTCTTTGCCGCCAAAATGGCACACATGAATGTCTTGGCAGATGCTCTCAAAAGCATTAACACTCCTGAAAGAGGAGGTAAATGCCAGGTTCTTATTACGCCATGCTCCAAAGTCATTAACCAGTTTCTAACTGTGATGATAAAGCATGGTTACATTGGTGAATTTGAGATCATTGATAATCACAGAGCTGGGAAAATTGTTGTGAACCTCACAAGCAGGTTAAACAAGTGTGGAGTGGTCAGCTTCAGATTTGATGTACAACTCACAGATCTGCAAAAATGGCAGAATAATCTCCTGTCCCACCAGTTTGGTTTCATTGTACTGACAACCTCAGGTGGTATCATGGACCATGAAGAAGCCAGACAAAAACACACAGAAGGGAAAATCCTGGGATTCCTTTTCTAGGGATGTAATACATACATGCAAATTAAAAAAAAAAATCATTTGAAAAGGACGATAGAGTCGGGCTGGAAACCTGCAGTAATTCTTTTATTACCTTAGATTTCACCCTGAGATTATTGTCAGCAGTTGTTCAATTAGGAATCTTATCCTAAGATCAATGAAACAGAAGATCCAGACCACTTACAAAGCAAACATGAACACTGCTGGAAAGACGATAGGAATAGGTGGTGATGTCTCTCTTAACACTTTATAGATTCGATTTTGAGCATTAATATCAAAGTCACCATAAAGGTCTCAACGTGCTCATTTCTCACGTTCACTTTGAATCGGTGTTTAAGCAAGTAAATACACATTATGATAGAAACATTTCCTTTTAACACTCTTTAACAGGACTCTGACTTGAAGAAAACAGTGGACGAAAGTGCACGGATTCAAAGAGCATACAACCACTATTTCGATTTGATCATCGTAAACGACAATCTAGACAAAGCCTTTGAGAAGCTACAAGCTGCCATAGAGAAGCTGAGAATGGAGCCACAGTGGGTCCCAATCAGCTGGGTTTACTGATGATTCAATAAGGTTCATAATGGAAATAAAACTTTTTAAAAGTAACTGCAACAAATAAGCCTTCTACTGAGAAAATACATGCACAGATAGAAGATATCTGCCAAGTTCAGGCATTTTTATTGTGTAGATTGAAATACCAGTACACTATTCTGAATTTTTATATAAAATGTGGTTGGGAAGGTGTACTAATATATAATTTATCTTAATTTTTCTAACTTTTTATGGATAACCTTTCTATTCATACCACATAAAGAAATGCGTTGAAGCATTTTGTATATGTTTTGATTTAGTACCCTTGCCTTTTTCATCAAAGGAATTTTCAAAGCCTTCATTCTTGCATTGGTCTCCCATTTTCACTGTGATAATGAATACTTGAAATAGTTTTGTAAATCTGTCCTTTAGTTCAGTATTTAACTAGTGAAGGGTCAGTTACTCTTTATTAGGAGAAAATAGTAGTCGTTGGCCTTCTTTCCTAATACAGGTTCTTAAAGAAACAGAACTATAATGTCCATACCTTCCAAGTCTGACATCAGAAGTCTGCTCAACGCTACATGGTTTCGTTATTTCAGAGATATATGGCTATCCATTCTAATTTAAGCAGATACAATGTTTTTTTTCCCTTCTTTTCCATCTTGAGGGAAAAAGTGAAGAGCAATACTTCGCACTCTCATTTGTTGCCATGACAGGCTCATACTAAGTGAATGTGTACACAGCAAGCAAGGCCATGCAGGGTAAGAGAGTGCCTTATCCTGTAACACCTAACACAGCAAAATGACACATAAAGTTGATTTATTTTCACATGTAGAAATTTGACAAAAATGAACCTACTGCTTTCAACAGTTTTTTATTAGGATATGGTCAGCAAATGTATCATGCCTTTGCAAATTCCTGTGATGCTTTAAAATGCCTCTAAGTTTGCAAGTGGGGGATTTTCTGAACAATCAGCATGCTTTTTGAAGTGTGATGTGATTGTTAGAATACTTGTTAAATCTTTTGTGTTAAGAACCAAATCCATTGAACAACTTAGGAGATTTGGGAATAACTGTCAGCTGTCTTACCTATATATAACATATACATTATATAATATGTACATTGTATGTATTATATAATATACATTAAATAAGGTTTTATATATTTTTTTACATTTCTGTTAGGAAATGCACTTTTTTGTTTAGTAATTAGGAAAACAGCCTCTCTTTTAGAGGTATTAATGTACTCAGATTTTTAAAATTTGTCTCAGTATCTTCCTTTAGGATTCTTGGATGGTATAAATTCTTCCTCAAACATATTCAGAGATGTAGCTCATCATTTAACTAAGTTATGTTGTTTTATGTTGCTGCCAGCTTTTCACAGGGACAGTATTCATACCTACAGGGTTAGATGCTTGTGGTCATCTTTGTCCATGGTAGGCATCAGGCACCTGGCTGTTAATTTTTCTCCTCAGCAAAGCTGTCACATGGAACACTAGCCAGGAGGGCTTAGAAGGAAGAGAAAATACCTGGCAATAAGCAGTTATGCACACATTGCTTTAAATCTTCTTCACAATGAAACAGTCAGCCAAGCTGCTGTATTGTTAAGATTGGAAATGTATAGGTTTTTTTTTTATTCTAGAGTTTCATATCCAGAACACAAATTCATGTTCTTTGTCCTAGGATAGGGAATAGTTAGAATAGAATTCTCCCCTAGTTAGGCTCCTCAAAGCAACCTGAATCAAAGCACAGTGACAAGGTAATGTCTTATGATTTAGTGTTTCAACACACTGTAAATTTTCAGGAAATGTGCTGTCTTCTGCGCAGAGCCTCTTTGAACAGCTTTGGGATCATCGTAGCAGCACAAGAAGCGTATCCACAAAATATTTCAACTGTCTTCACATAACGGAGATGATTTTTACATCATCTATATTTTTAGCCTTATCCTAGGGTTTAAAATGCATATTATTTAGAAAATAGTCCATACTTAAAGGAATTATTTCTATTATAAATGGTATTCATGACTAGTTAATATACACTAGATCCCCCATAATAGGAAATAATGCTGTTTAGTTTATCTCAGTCCAGATGCCAGAGCTGAAGAGAATAAAATCAGAAAAGGTCACTGTATGTCAATAGAGTCATTGGACTTGAAACTGAAGTCCCATCTGAGTTTGCAGGACCCGGTAGAGCTCTGCTGGGGCAAGGAGTCCCAGAGGCCCCAGGATTCTCCCAAGGCAATGAGAGTATCGTTGTAATCAATGAAGTATGAACTTCTCTTGTGGGAAATATCTAAAATAATTAGCTTTACTGAAGAGAAAACGGTTTAAAGTGATGCTAAACAATTGGTAATAGTTAAAATACAAATGCACATGCAAATTGCCTTTGGGAAACATGTGCCAATACATTAATGCACCCAAGGATGCTTTGTGACCAGAAGAGTGTCTACATTCAGCATTCAGGGCATGACTGTTTGTATACAACTAAATATTATATATATCTATGTTTTTTATTTTCAAATGTACAAATACCCCTAGAGGTGATGTTCCTGGATAAGTCATGTAACAGTATAACTAGTGGAATATATGTGATGCACTACAAGTAGAGTTTCACTTTTACTCCAGCCATGTCTTGATTATGTAGTCTTAATTTCTGTTTGATATTTGTATATTATCAAATATCCAATACATCAGGACTTTTACTTTTGCCAATTCTTAACTATACAATTGCTGAACATAGCTTTCTAAAATAGAAATCTTATCATAAACCCAGTATGACTACAGCAATAGTAGCCTGAACCCTAGATTCTTAGAATCTAGTAAATTTGCTTATAATAGCTTATCAGGACAAGTTTTCTTTAAAAGAGCAAATTGGTTATTAACACAAATTTAGGAAATAATGCAAATTAGCAATAAAATACAATAGTGTAGCATTATAGATTATGGCCAGATACTAACTGCTTTGACCACACTATCCCAATGACAATAAAAGATGATCTTTGCTTTAAAAATTCACTAAATTGGTACTTACTGCTAGACAAAACGGTAAGTGTCATAATCGGTGATTGGAGCTGATTTTCAAGATGGATAGCCATGGAGTTAGGTACAGTTATTTTGAACTGATAAATATTAACCATAAAAATTTTGAAAATTTGTCAAAATAGTGCTCTACTTAACATTGTACTTTTATGACTTCTGAAACAACACCCCATTTTCCAGAAATCACAGGCTAGGGAGCCAATAATTTTGTAGTAATGAATCTTTATACTAAATATGGAAAAAGAAATCCTGAACTTTTATGTACATATATAGGTCATTTTATAAATGTCTGAGTCACCATATATATAATATATATACAGCCATATGTATAATATGTAAAATTCTCCCCAAATACATGAATAATAAAACTAAATATGGTCACCCATGTAACTGTAGCTAGTGATCTTAAATGTTTACGCCCAAATTCTTAGACATTCTGAAACCTTTTTCACATTGTTTTATAAGGCTCTAGTTTTACCTTGAGGCAGATACTAATCTCCTTTCTGAAAAATGTGAAATTAAGCTCAGAAAATTATTATAACTTAATTTCTTTAAGCAAAAAGGACAGAGTTCTAGATGGCAACCTCTTAGGAAATACTTATTTAAACTTTAAATGAATTCATGATATGGTTCAGGCTTAGAGATTATGGTAACTGCCCTCCTCTTGTTCCAGTGGATTTGCTGTGAGAATTCATGTAATAACATCTGTAATGTATTTTAAGTTCTTGAGCAAAATTCAGTATTTTAAATAATGGGATTATTGTATATATAAAAGTGAATATTCACTAACTTTCTAAGAATACAGTCAACTAATAAATCAGCATCATTTTTTGAGTATGCATTGTATATCTGAAGAATAACAATTCTGTAATTCTTTAAGGTAAGATTATTTTTAAATTACATTTTTGTTAGCCTCAAGTTTTATTTTTTAATATGTCCTATAATTCATTATGTTACCTTTGTGTTCCTGGAATGATTTAGTGCACAGAAACAGAAATGTCTTTAATATACTAAAAAGTGAAGGAATGATATCTCATTTCTAAGGTAAGAATTTTAAAGCATGGTTTGTACCACTTCCGTAGTATATTGCACTACTTTCTTTAATCTCTTTTGTTAAAAATAGAAATGGTGTACATCTACTAGCTGAGATCCTAATTCTGACTCTGACCATGCGACCTTTGATAAAATTTATATTTCCCTTTTAATATTCCACCCGTTAAATAAGGCTAGCTTAATATTTGTCTTCACATTAAATTACAAGAAGTAATTTGTAACTCTGATGTGATGAATGCTAGACTGGAAAATCCTTATTTTAGGCTACTTTATTTATTATATGTATTCACTTATATTGAGGTTGTTTATCTTTTGGTTCATTTAAAATGTATCTCTTCAGAGGTAGTATAATGAATGGTACACACCATTCAAGAATCCTACCTCTGATTTTAAAACAGCTCTGAGGAGGGTCTGTTCTCTCTTGTGGCCTTGGTCAGGAGGTCCATTTTAGTTTAGAACCCCACTCTCAGTCCAAACCTTTAACAAAATCTTGTTACTCACAAATCAAATAAAATTTAAGCAATCCAGTACTCTGACATCCAAGAAATTCTGAACTTTGGCCCTTAAAGCTGCCCTACCTTAGTTCTTATGCCTGAAATTTATCACTGCAGCCCTATTGTTTAACCCATAGTATTAAGTTTCGAAGGCATCTGTTTCTTTATAGGGAGAACTGTTGTTAGGTCCAATTAGTGGACCTTGAATCTGACATGAAGACATCTAAGTTGCATTCTCTTTTTAATTGCTTCACGGCCGCTGGCTGATAATGCAGTGCTGTGATAAATCTGACTTGCCTCCACACACCAAAGTCAGCCAGAAGTGACTGTTCCTTCCCTTTTTTTCCCCTACCAGTTTTTCCTGTTTTCTAATTCCCAGCACAAACTGAATGAACACATCTACAATGAACATAAATGCTGCTTTGTACTTGGGAGAGTAAATGACTCCGTGCTTGTAAACCTTCTTGAGTCCCACTGAATAGGTACCGTTGCTTCCACAAAGCAGAAGCCAAAAGGTCTTATTTTAAAAGCTGGAACTAGAGGTCTCTGTTGCACTTCAGCAACAGCAGAGGGTAGAAACATACAAATATGACAGGCCATACCTGACATCAGTCTTTCTTCATATCGGTCAAGGTGGCCAAGGAGCTTAGAGGAAGTGGAAAAAAGCAGAGCATTCAAAACTCCTCAGCTATAAATTACCACTGTTAAAGCAGAAGTAATCACCAGTTTAAATATATGGTCTTCATCGTATTCTGAAATAAGAGAGGCAGGCAATAGTACAGCAATTGCCCGGAAGACCTAGAGCTTTTTCTGGTAGACATGGTCCAAATGAGGAGTGCCTTCACCTTTTCAGGTGGAACCAGATTTGAGGAATAGCTCCTCTCCAACTGTCATTTAAGTATAAGATAAATACTCCTCTTGGCTATGTGTCCTCTTTTAAAAAGAACGGACTCCTGTTTCTTTGGTAACATTGATTTTTAAGGAAGTGGGATCTAGGGTTTTGCTGGAGAAGAATGAGCACTAGGGTTTGGCAACAAGTGTAGTTTTCTGCAAGTTAAGTTGTTTTAGAGCCCATGGTGAGTATTTGATGTGAAAACCTTGCTTTGGGGATTTTTTTTTTTTCCATTTCAGTTTGGTATATTTTTTATTTTGAACACAAATGCATGCTCTACCTCTAGTCTTTGAAATAATTGTAGAACTTTTTTTTTAATGGCGGGCAAAATGCTTGTTAGCAATCTAAAAAGCTGAACAAGCTGCTGAAGTTAAGTTTCTGATGAAAAAGTTTAAAAATAAAATTTAATTGCTACTGCTTTCCAAGTAATTGTATTACTAGTTCCTGTATAAAGAAACATTACTGCTGCCTTTGTATAAATAAAATTTTCCTGCAGTACAATTAAGTATTGATTTTTCAGAAACTGTCCCTATAAATTTTTCTTTTCGCATATTTCCATATGCTGTCCAAAACAAACATTGAAACGTTGAACATGAGATTGTATATTCCAAGTAAAATATTTTTGTACATATAAAAATATTGCAAAAATGTAGTGTTTCATTTATAGGTAGAAGTAAGGTTTAGAGATGATAAAATATAG